GGATATTGAATAACAAGCAGGACCCTAGTGTATAGACATTCCCTGAACCCAGGAGCAATGCTTGTTGGAAGACAACACTGTTGGCTGGGGTACGTCAAAAATGTGTGATGCCCCAAAATCCTCAACAGCTGGTGTTCGGTAAAATGAAAGAAATGCCAGAAGGACAAATATAACAGTGGTGACTACCGTGCAGCACGCTATACTCATGCTAGACACTACAGAAAAAATATATTAGACACTACTGGGTGGTAAGCCAAGTGAGTGATAAGAAAATACCATGTGTAAGTATTCAGAAATGAATGGCTGTTAGCAAGACTTAGGGAAATTCTCCTGGAGAGATGAGAAGGCATGACGTGAACATCAAGGGAGGAATGGATACAGAGACAGGACAAGGGTTTCTTTAGTGTACGAAACCCCAGGAGCAAAGTGTGGCTGCAGATATGAGAGTGGCATGTTCAAAAAGCTGCAGGGAGTCCACAGGAGAGGCACAGTGGGACCTACAAGTCACACAAAAATGTCCCCCAAATAATCAGCATTATGGTACCTATTTACTCAGTTTTATAAGAAGACTTTAAAACTCGCAGTGTAGACTGGTCCTCTTCTGGCTAAAAAGAGCAGCACAACTTGAGTGGAAACAGCAAAACAAACAGAATACCAAAGACAAAAAGCAACAACAAAAACCCCTCAAAGCAACACTCTGGTTTCTCTTTGGAGTTTACTAAAAAACCCAGAAACCATCCTCAATTGGTGACCTATCTTGGTCAGTTACTCTTGCTAGTAGCTTCCTGTAGTTACTGTTAACTGAAATTCTGAAACCATGCTATGCATAGTTACAGGAATGAATTGTTTTATCTAAATTTTATGTCCTTTGGAAGATATTAAAGGAATTTGGGATACTTCCAAAGACATACATTTCAGAAAATAATAAAATTATACTCAAGGGAAGATGAAAACTTCAGATAAGTGGGAAATAATTTTCTGGGAAAATGTTTTTACTTTTTTTTTTCAGAAAAACTGAATTAGTTGATGAGGCTGTCGCAGTGTTCAACTTAGAAAATTAATAGTGATTATTTGATAAAACATATTAACATTATGTTAATAATTATTAATAGAAATAAGGTAGTGGAAATTAATTAATAGTAGAAAATAATAGAATAGAAAATTTAAAGAATACTGGCTAGGCATTGCGGCTCATGCCTGTGATATCAGCACTTTGGGAGGTCCAAGTGGGAGGACTTCTTGAGGCCAATCAGATTGGTTCCAGACCAGCCTGGGCAACACAGTGAGAGCCATAGATCTACAAAAAAATAAAAAAAAATAGGTATGGTGGCACATGCCTGTATTATCAACTACTCAGGGTGTTGAGGCAGGAGGATTATGTAAGCCTAAGAGTCTGAGTGTGCAGTGAGCTATGATTGCAACACTGCACTCCAGCCTGGGCAACAGGGCAAGACCCCGCCTCTAAAAAACGAATAAAAAAATATTAGTTTGAAGGAGCACCAAATTACTCATCTACTCAAGGTAGGTTTTTTAAGGTCTGAGTTGGAAGTCCTCTTGAAGGGTGAGATCAGATGGAAAATAGGTTGAGTTTAAATAATGGAAATCCTAAAATGACCATCTCAGGTTCTCAGCTTTTGTCTGAGTTTTAGGAAAAGATCTCTGAAGGTACCTGAGTACAATGAGGAAAGTGATGTTTAGGAGGGCAAGTGTTGTGGCTATATGTAGGTAGACTGAAAAGGGGTACAGGGACACCGGTTAAGGACCTGTTGAAGTAATTAGACATGAGACAGTGACAGTCTAGTCTATGGGTGATTGAAGCCTATTAGAAACAATCTGACACACTCTGAAGAGAAACTAACAATGCTTTGCTTTGTGACTGACTAGCTAAATGAGAAATCCTAGAAGGCTCAGGTGATAAGCATGAGAGACTAGGGGAACCGTGGTGCCACAACTAAATGAGGGATTGAAGCTGAGAGCAGAGGCTCACTGGAGCAATAGAGAGACTGAGTTTAGATGGCAGATTGAGACACAGCAACAGGACATGGACTAATTCCATATGTAGATGGAAAGGCTATGTGAGAGGAGACTTTCCTTCAACCACAATATGTTTTCATAAAGAGACACTCTGCACAAAATATGATGCCAACAATAGCCTTCTTCATGGCACACAATGAAGAAATACCCACTGAACATATGTTGCTTTCTACCCTCTTAGGTCCTTCACATATGGATCTGTGGACCTAGAAAAAACGGAGGCATTTCTTAAACATCAAAGATTTATTTGAGTCACTGCAGTCCAGGAAACGCTTCCAAGTTACCTTGCAAAGCGCCCTGAAGAACAAAAGAGAGGCTGGAGCTTTTAAAGAAAAAAGGATGAATAAGAGCAGAGGGAGATTACAAAAGTTGTTTTTCAACTGCTACAATTGGTGTGATTGTATCTAAAGGGACTGGTTTTAACAGTTAAAAAGTCACCTGTGGTAAGGGACCTTCCAGAGCTCAGCAGGAAGCAGACGCTTTGGTTGTTCAGCCAGGAAACTGTGACCTCCATCCAAGGCCTGCCTTAGGTTCAAGCTAAAATGGCCTCATGGCTCCACTTTAGATTATTTGATTAACCCGTTGTCATTTTTCTTCATCAGATCCTAACACTGATTTCTGTCACACCTTGAATATAAAAAGCAATAATGAATATGAAGTTTCATGTAAACCCAAGTAAGATTTTTCTCCTCTTTACAGTCACATATTTCTTCTGAATTGAAATAAAATATCCCACATATAACTAGTTATTTTTTTTGAGCAACAGATTTGTTATTCATTTACTAAAAAACATGTTTAGCACAAAGATATGTTATGTAGAAAGATAAAGCATAACACTTTTTATATTTTCACTGCTTTTTGAAAAAGAGACTTTTTCCACTTGTAGAACTATATAAACACAGGCATGAAAAACACCAACTTCAAATTTTTAAAAAATTGGCAAGCACATTTGGGCTTAATAAAAATAAAATTAAACTGGCAATTTTGGAAACACTGCGTACATGTGTACATGTTTCTTCTGGAAAAATCTTCATGTTGGTTCCAAATGAGTATTATCAATTGGAGTAATTCAAAGGCAATGAATATTTAAACCTAGTTGTATCAAGAGGAGAAACAATGACTTCCAGATCTGGAAAGAACTGAGCACTTAAGATAGACAGACATTATTATCTGATTCAAAAATTAACTCTTGGTGCTCAAAAGTCAAAAGTCTCCAGGTGCACTGGGGGCAGTCTTATTCACTGGATTAACAATAGCTCATATTAGAAGTGATGAAATTTTCAGTCGTCTTAGGTTGCTATTGCTATCACTATCTTAAAGTTTTTGAGTCCAGCTTTTTACTATATGTAAATAAGACTAGTTTTGTTTTTCCATCTCTGTGATAGCCCTTCAAAAGATACAAACTTGAAAGGGTAGAAGAGCAAGAAAAACAGTAACAAAAGGACCAATACGTGGAGGAGAGACATAAATGCGTAAAATAACTTAGCTCAACTAGCATTCATTATTATTCAAATAACATCTTACCAGCTTACAAAGACAGAGGGGGCCATGAGGGCTTTCCTGTATGAACTTCAAATCTAGGCAGGGAGACAATAATTTCTATGTATGTGATTCAGTAACAAAAGAATACAATTTCCAAGGTGAAGCAATAGGCAGGAAAGCATATGCCAAATACCTGAGAAAGTCTGATGTCATCAAAGAGGCTCCAAAAATGAAAGTAAATGTGATCTCATGCCAAGGGAGGTGTAGGATTTGTCACAGAAACCCCAGACAGGACAATAGCATAGAATAACCTGAGTGGAAATGATCAGGCTGCCAAGAAGCCAGGAGTAACTCAGAGAAGATCTAAAGAGGAAGAGCAACACGCAAAGCCCACAAGTTAATGGAGGGCCTTGAATAGACAGCAGAGGCATAGGAGTCTAATTCTAGAGCTCCTCGGAAGTCATGTAGGTTTTTGAACTGGAAAGTAGCTTCAGAAATAATATAGTGTGTATCCATTATGTTAAAACAATATGCTGGGTTGAATGGAAATTTGATCAAGCTCTTGTTTGCATGTACATGGTTTAATCTGGCCTTTCACTCTGGAGGTATGATGATTGACATGCAATATGATTCATATGTTTACATGGTGCAAAATTAGATTTAAAAAATTTGTCGAGTCATCTAATAGTCTTACCTTTTAATAACTAACATATGAAGCATTTATACCTCACTCTGCTGAGATTTTTGCAAATATGGTTCCCTAAAATTATAAATTATTAAAATTTATTTATCAGCTACATAAATGCACTGGGGACTGAATTGTGTTCCTCCAAAATTCAATGAAACCCTAACCCCCAGTGTATCTGATCTTGAATTTTTCAGCCTTCAGAATTGTGAGAAATTGAGGCCCGGCATGGTGGTTCACACCTGTAATCCCAACACTTTGGAAGGTTGCAGTGGGATGCTCGCTTGAACCCAAGAGTTCGACAATAGCCTGGCAACAAGGTGAGTCCCCATCTCAAAAAAAAAAAGACATTCCATGAGAAATGAATTCCTGTTGTTTAAGCTATCCAGTCTATGGCATTATGTTATGACAGCCAGAGCAGACTAACATACATTGCAGCATTATAAACTATCTATCTCAGACGCTTCACTGATCCTTTCTCTCCATGGAATTCTCTAAATTTTCTTAGCTTTACCTTAAAAGTAGATGGCAGGAAAGGGGAACATGAACTAATGGCTATTGAATGTTTAATTAGCATCTGTTAGATGCTGTATACATATTATTGAATTTAATCCTGGTAGGCATATGTGACACAGTGATCTACAGGAAATGTTTCAATACAACTTTATTGGAAACAAGTGATAGAAAATGTGCACATTTTATAATCCACAATTAAAAGTCTTCTAAATAATATATACATATAACTAATTTGTAACTGTTAACCACAGTGGACAGTGAAAATAAAACACTCCTTGATAACTTTTCTGAAGGATAATCAATAATTTATTTCTCTTTAATTGTCACAATTACCACAATTATCTAGCTATATGACCAATGTCACTACATATCACAGGGAGATTGTCCACCTACACTTTACTGAGACAAAGACAATGGCAATTTATGAGTTAAATGTACAAGGGGATGTTAAAAAGCAGTGGCTTTTATGTGCAAGACAAGATATGGCACACGATTTATTATGAACAGGTTTGATTTATAACATATGCCAAGAAACAAGCATAGACATGTTTTGGCATTGAGTTGTTATGAAAGTAGAAAATAAGTAAACTGGAGAAATAAATCCAGATTTTCACTTATATTAGATACATTAAAGTAGGAAATTAGTTGGCTCCTCAGTATTTTTGTGCAAGTTTTTTTGTTTTCTCTCCTTTTGTTTTTGATTTTTTTTATAAACGAGTAATATGAATATATCACAAGTAAAAGAAAGATCTCAGCCAAAAGGAAGGTACCAGTATATGAAAAGCAAATGAAAAATTACCAGGTATTTTTTTGCTTACAAAAAATTTAAACTATAAAGAGTCACAAAATATATATAAAAACGCCACATTGAACGAGGCAATCATACTCTACCGAAACTGGTAGCATCCTCTTAAAATCAGTCGCATGCATTCCGTTCATCCGGTCATACTGTGGTCACCGACAAGAAGGCATTATGGACTCTTGTGCCATCCGGAGACTTGGCCCCATGGGTCATCAGTTCTTGGATTGTCATCCAGTTGTCCAAAATTTTTTTGTTTCTCTTTTTCATCATCTTTTTGTGACTCAGTTCAATGATACTGATCTCCTTCTTGCCCTCGCTGCCACTCTGAGGGCTTTCCTTGAGACACTCTAACCGGCTCCGCATCATGAACTCTCGGCGACGGCGCTGCTCTTTGGCCCTAACCAGGTGCTGCTTTCTCTCCTCTTTGCTCCAGTAGCGCCCCATTTTCATCTCGCTCATGGTGTCATCATCTGTGGTCATGCCACTCCGCTCCTCCTTGATCTTTAAGGCACGTTCCTTCAGGATGCGGTCTCGCACTGGTCTCTTTGTGATGTACCGTGTCCCATCGCTCCTAATTTTCACCTTCCATTCCATCTTGGGCTCTGCACACTTTTGAGACTCCTTGCACATGCTTACCAAGCTGAGCTGACTCTGAGCATACTCGACTGCAGATTTCTGTTGGATTAACTGCATGTAGCTTTGATAATGCCGGGCATGTGCTGGGATGTTCGCATATCTATATGAGGAGCTGTGGTAAGGAGAGAGGTAAGGGATGTGTTCGCTGACTGCCTTCTCTTGGTCAGGAAGCTTGCTGCCTTCCAAAATCTTCTCCTTGCTTTCAGCACTACAACCTTGCTCTGTGGTTTTCACTTTGGTGGAGGTTGACTCTTTACTGCTCTGTTCATAAGAGGACTGGTTGGCTGCCATTGTACTTCTCACGTTTTTCTTATTGGTGAGGTTGATCATCCTTGGAAGGGAGCTGTCAGGGGAACGGTCTACAGCGAGCGGAGTACTTCTGCAGCTCTCAGCTGTGTTGTAAGCACTAGAACTGTCCTTATCAGACTTTTCTGGATGTTCCATGATGTCATCCAGCTTTCCCCTTTGCATGTCTATGCTGGTGTTATAATTCCGGAATCCTCCATCATGCAATGTCCAGATGTCTCCATACTGGTCTGTCACTTTCTGGAGCCTGTGAGCCTGCATGATATTCTGACACTCGAGCTCAATGTTTCTCAGCTCTTCATTAAGCAGCTGTAGCTCATGCTCCACTCCCTCTTGCTCCTCTTGATTGCATTCAATTGTGCTGCTTGAGTAATACAGGTCATACTCTCCATGATTTTGAATCTTGCATTTGAGCTCCAAGAGCTTCCTGAATCTTTCACAGTCCTCTTCTTGGTTGCCAATGCTGTCTGAGTCAATGTATTCACCAGACATGAGGCTCTCATTGTACTGAAGTTCAACGCTTCCTAGAGTGTCTTGACTCTGCCCTAGCTCTCTCTTGCTCTTCAAAGATGTGCTGTTGGGGTCCTCAACTGCATTCTCCTGCTCTGAGCTCTCATCATTTCGCAAGCTTTCATCTGTGCGTCCTACTCCACTGTCCTTCTCATGGTTGTTGGATGAGGATGTTGCAGTGTCTGTTGTGCCTTCTTCTTCCTCTTGCTTTTTTGGCTAAAAAATAACATTGAAAGAACAAAGAAAATTATTTTGAAAAACACTGATGATTAAAAATCTTGCTTGAAAACCAATGCTTCTTGGCCAAAGTTGCATCTCCTAGAAAGTTGCTTTAATTTTAGTGTCCATCACAATTTTAGAAATAAAGAAAAATTAGCTAATGGCAGCTTTTTATACAATGAAATAAAGAAAACAAAAGTTGCTTGAATATGGCTATGATATTCACTTGGATATAAATAAGGCAGGATGCATTCAAAGAAGTGATTCTTTAGGTTTTCTCTTACTTGGGAAACTCAGGGTGAAGGTGTATAAACAAAGTGACTGTATGAATTTCTGAGGTGATAATATGCAAAAGAATAAGACAGAATGTCTAAATGTTCTTCAGCAATATGGAAACCTGAAGTTCAGAAGCCACAATTACCTTATGTTTTTCACTTCAAGCACAGAGGAAACTTCACAGACTTGGTGAGATGCTGAGAATGGGTAAGCCAAACATCACAGAGTTTGAGGACTAAGTTAACATTATGCACTGGAGCCTATGACATTCCTATATATAGGTGAGGATGCTCAATCTCACATGGATTCAGATTATTAGTGACAGATTCAGGTTATTAATGACAAGGCAAAGCTTCATCTTCCAGTGCCAAAATTTCTTATATGTCCAGGATGCCATGCTCCTGAATACATGTGCTCTGACCTCAGTGCATTCTAAATCATGTTTCTTAAAGGCAACAACATCTCATTTGGGTTGATAAGATTTTTCTACTCTTAACCAGGGATTTTTTTTAAAGGTAAGTAAAAATTCAATCCCATGAAAATTTGAACAGCACTGATTGCCAGACATGGGCATAATATCAAAAAAGTTTTGACAAGTATATCATATACATATATATATATATATATGTATGCATGTATGTTTATGTAGTGTGTGTGTGTGTGTGTGTGTGTGAGAGAGAGAGAGAGAGAGAGAGAGAGAAGAGAGACATACACCCTGGTAATTTTTGGTTTTCATGTAAAAAAACTGTACTATCCTAATAAGATGGCATGTGTAGTTCTTTCTCTGTGAATATGGTAAAGTTACTTTCACCTCTATCAGTCATCACATGATAATCTATAAGGCAGTTTCTAGATTATGTCTGCCTTATGCCTAAGTTTATTATATGTGTGTGTGTGTGTGTGTGTGTGTACAGCCATCCCTCTAGCAGTTGTAATTACATAATTAAATATAATCAAACCAACAGCTACTGCTAAAGCAGGATGGAACAAATGATAAAAGATATTCTAAAAGAAGTTTTAAAAGGTCTAGAAAATTGTTATTTTGTTCTGCATAAGTAATGGCAGGAAAAAAAAGTAACATAAATTGAAGAGGAGAGAACGTAACTGTGTAGCAAGTTGTTTCATGACTCTCAATCTTTCACTGGAATATGTTCATTCATTTGTTGCAAACATGCTGAGATTGATCTTAAATGTCTTATTGATAAAAAAATTATAAGGAAGTAATTGTAACTAACAATGGAAAGCTTGTTACATCCCTAGGCTGTGACTTATAAGGTGACAATAGTATTTAATATGGCAATGTCTGCATACTACACCATATAACTCTCAAAGGTTGTTATTGATACTGGGCATTTGATTTTATATATCATGTTATTTATAATTATATTTTTCTATTATCTTGTCATGAGCTGAAAAATACAAGAAGACTAGTTTTTTTTTATTTTACACGAAGCTCAAATAATACAGACAAATTATTCTATGGGAGTTGTTGCACAACATAATACCAGTTATAAGACCAAGGATACTAGGTAAAATGAAACTTTTCATAAAGCAGATTCACATATGGGTATGTATTTTTTCAACTGAATTTCCCTTTTCCTTTGTTACTGGTCTATGAACAACTGTGAAAATAAAAACAGTTTTTCATTCTCATGCCTGCAATTCCTAGTTTCTAAGGTAATGCTGCTCTATCATTTATCATTTCCCTATGGAATTATTACAGCGACAGGCAATGTTTCTACCTAGACATTTCTAATGTAGTATTATTGTTTATAAGGGCAAAGGACTTTTAAAGGTTTCTGTACTTCTCATCATTTTTTTAGTCTCATCATGAAGAAAAATTTCCACACAATGAGAATCTGACCTCAGAGACATCTAGTGTTACCTCATAGGACCTAACATTTGTATTACCTCTGATGAGTAGGCAGCATTTGACACCATATCACTTCACCTGGACAGGATTTCTCCCTGCTTTCTTTATTCCAGCATCCTCCTGTCAGTTCAGTATCAGGTCACATTTTGTATGTAAGAAAAAAATGCTTGGAGCAAGGACTTTCTTGCTTGTAACCAGCAGCTGCCACCAAAAATATCTTTTTTTGTGGCCAGTGTTGAAGTTTTACATACAAAGATTTTAATCTGTCCTATCTATATTGAAAGGCAATCACCACAGTAGCAATAGTGCTTGTGAGTATGAACTTCTGTTTATGGAGTGGCCAAACAGCATCCATGATGAGCACACGAGTGTATCACATATGACTATGTTGATGCTATAATGTGCAATCTAATTATTTAGTATGCGGACTTGTACACACACATATACATTTCTGTTATGGGATGTTAGCAAGCTGAGTATTTCATTATTCATCCTTGTAAAGTGATAGAATGTTTGCACTGTATGTTTCTAAACCTGTCAAGATTTTCAAATAAATTGTCATCTTCTAGGATGTGTTAAGAATTAATGTTGAGGCCAGGCACAGTGGCTCATGCCTGTAATCTCAGCACTTTGGAAGGCTGAGGCTGGTGAACCACTTGAGGTCAGGAGTTCGAGACCAGCCTGGACAACATGGTGAAACCCTGTCTCTACTAAAAATATAAAAATTAGCTGAGTGTGGTGGCATACACCTGTAGTCCCAGCTACTCAGGAGTCTGAGGGAGGAGAATCACTTGAGACTGGGAGGGAGAGGTTGCAGTGAGCTGAAATCACGCCACTGCACTCCAGCCTGGTTGACAGAGCAAGACTCTATCTTAAAAAAAAAAAAAAAGAATTAATGTTGAGAATAGGAAGATAAATGCATCAGTAAAGTGAAAATAAAATTATAGTTTTGTTTTCAAAAATATGATTTTTGAAATGGCGGATAAATGACATGAATGTAACAAAACAAATCTAGAATATATTGAACTTGTTTTTATAAAATGGGAAAATGACAATAAAAATAATGAAAAGAATCTTAAGACTCACTTTGCCACAAGCCACACTGTGATCTTTTACTAGTTACGAATCTGTTAAAGGCAGCAATGTTTCTACTCATTTTTCTTTGTATTCTCAGTTACAAGTTGGGTGCTTGAAACATATTAGGAGTTCTGAAATTTTAGTTGAATGCAAATGTGACCTTAAGGAAAAATGATGTCAATAATCTCAAATTATGCTATGAGAAATGTTGCACAAATTATGCTATGGGAAATGTGTCAACAGCAGCCATAAGACCAAGGATAATCTCTATGATTATTCAGAATATTCAGATGTAATGCCATCCAGTACGCAAATAAAACTGATGGCTTACATCATGTCATCTTTATCCTATGGTGATAGCCTGAGTATTCAAATATATACATTAATATTTTATTATTATTTTTTCACTGGGAAATTCAGGGTTTATTTGTTTGCATTTTAATGGCAATTGAGTGGATGAGAGCTTAAGGGGGAGATTAGATCAGTCATAGGAAATAAAGATAAGATCAGCCATAGGAAATAAAGAAGCAAGTGTCTTCTTTGAATATGTAAAGTATAGTGGGTATGAACATGTGATCAACATGATTGTTAAATGGGTAACCTGGCAGAATGCTGGGGTCACAGGAAGGAATTATACCTGCTAAAATCAGAAAAAATGCACAGATCATAGTATGGCTGAAGCTGCTAAAGAGATCATGCTTGCCATTTTTTTTTAATTAGCACAGCAGGGTGACTATAATCAGTAATAACTTAATTGTACATTTAAAAATAACTAAAAGAGTATTATCAGATTGTATGTAATACAAAGGATACATGGTTGAGGGACTGATACCCCATTCTTTATGATGTGATTATTTCATTTCCATGCCTGTATTAAAGCATCTTGTGTACCTCATAAATATATACACCTACTAAGTACCCACAAATATTAAACATTAATATTTTAAAGTAAAAAAATTACTTGTTGGGGAGGTTACCTCAGTTTGTTTTCAGCTGGCATATTGAGAAGTTACATACATTTTTTTTACCATTAACTTTCTGCAGTTAGTTTGAAGTAGTACCTGGATCAACATCTGAATACTACTGTACTGTATTAACAGTGGTCCCTGAGCTTCCCAAATTGGAAATATTCTTAATAAAAAAAACATGTTATTAATTCCCTCTGCTTCATTTGAGATGACTGTTTGCTCTACAAAATTACCATGATAGGGATGTTTGATTAAACACTTTGATTTTGTTTTCATCATTAAAAAAAGAACAAGCAACGTCTCAAATGATGTAGTTCCAATAGTTGGCCCTACCTGCTCCACCTCATTGGCAGTGGGTTGCATTGCTTCATTATGCTCTTCTTCCAACATCTCCAAGTTTAACTCCTCTAAGAATTCATTCCTTTCATCTTCCAGCCAGCCTTCATCCAGCTGCAAAAGAATACATTAGTACATTATATTGTGTTAGTGAGAACTCATGCTAAAATAGGGTAAACTTAAATGGCTCATGCCCAACGAGTTCCTTTTATCATGATTCTCTTCAGAATACCAGCCTCCCATAGTTCACCCCTCAGAAAGAAGAAAAGGTGATTAAAAAAAAATTGGACTCATGCCTTTTATCCTTTCCTGAAACAGGGCTACAGATTTTCTCTCATAACCAAGTAAATTCACAGCACAGAACATTACCTTCTTTCAAAATGTATGAAAAGCGTCCTGCATAATCCACAGCTGTCATGCTCATTACCTCCAACAGTCCTGTGTTAAAAGGACTGCCATGCTACTAACAGGACTATGAGACAATTGGGCTTTTTTTCTTTAACAACAACCCCCAACGAGACTGCACACAAAGTGCCCCCCATACACTCATGCTATCCTCATCCTGCTTTTTCTTTTTGGGTGGGCTCCCATGTTAGCAAGATGGCTGCTTGCCACAAAAGAGTCTACAGAAAACATTTATTTTATCTGTAAAGAAAGAAAAATTCTAAGTTATTCTCAAAAAAAGGAAGAAAAAAAAAGAAAAGGAAAGAAAAGCAACGTTACTCCATGTCTATTTCAATTCATTTTCAGGTCCAATTTTATAGGAAGAACACCATGGTGGATGTGACAGTTAAGGGTGATGGAGTGGTGTGGGCCATGCAGGGTTTTGTTTACGGTTGCTGAAAACAAGTATTCTTGTAGAACTCTTAACGCAAATTAAACTGAGCAAATCCCTTCGGCTTTTCAATACAAAGTGAAGTGGAAAACTGGTGGTTCCCTGGCTAATATGATCAATGTTGACAGTTAGGACAGATAATTTGCCTCAAAGTGGATTTTTGGAGCTGGATTACATAAATTAGCTGTCTATGCTGATTAAATTAACAGGATTATCGTCAAAACTCTGCATCACCCTGTGCTACAAAGAAACGGCAGCATTCTAGTGGATCATAGTTTGAGATATTTTGACTACCAATGAACTGGCAAAATAAGTTTTTAAATATAACTGAACTTCTACAGCTTAAATTAAACCAAAAAGGACATTAAACTGCACCAAAAGAGGCATTAGCATATATGTGTCATCTTTATTTATATGCAGGCAAATCATAGATTTCATGATATCTATTAAAGGCCACGTAGAACTTAAATGACCTGAAATTTAACTGGGGCCCAAAGTACAGGCACATTTGTTCACCCTCATTTATCTTAATGTGGCCTGAATAAGTTGATCACATTCCTATGGCTTTGATATGCAGATGAGCTATGATAATTATGCCAACTAAAAATGTAAATTCAGTCCAATTTGTAATTGTTCAAGTTTTACATTCTTTAATCTTTTTCAAGTATCATAAAGCTGCAAATGCCAGACCTCATACAAAATTACTTAAAATGAGGAATGCTTACTTGTCACCAAAACATCAGGAATCTTCTTTAATCAGGTCAAAATAAAGTACCTTCTAACACTGACACAGTGAATGATGAAATAGAGTATTTTGAGGATTAAATGAAGTGGTGGGGAAAATAAAGAGAAAATGGTCAAAATTAATGATTCCCTGTAACTCTTTCCTTATTGAGTAACCCCATAGATTCCTGAGTTGCCAGCTGTAGTCATTATATATCTATTTTGATAAGCCTTTCTTTGAGGCTGGAGGCGCACACAGCACAATTAGCAAAGCAGATTCTTCTTGCTCACTTCCTTCCTCTGTCCTATTTCCCCCTTTCTACCTAGACGTGCATTCACTACAGTCTGAGTCTAATGCAGTGGCAGAGACTGACATCTCCCTTGAGTTGAGCGGCAGGAAAAGAGGGATTGTCATTACTAAAGAGTGGGGATCTGTCTGCACCAAAGGGGGCCACATGTGGCATCTCAGAGAAAGGAACAACCTACACTGTCTCAAAGGTAGTGGCCACAAGCTCTTATGAGAATCCTCTCTGCCCCCAGTGTCCTGAGGGAAATAGGACAGAAAAGCAATATCTCTAATGGTCTCAGGAAGAAAATGGGCAGAAAATGAAAGAGAGTTGACAGGAAATGAGGAAAATGAGTTATTTTAAAATATTGCACAGATGCATAATACTGCCCCCAGCAACTCTGTACCTCATTTCCAAGAATCTAGAAAGCATCTGAAATATTAAAAATAAAAAAGCTAGAAAAAGCACACAAAAAGCTTCCACATTCTCCCTGAATAAAATACACTTGCAAAACAAATAAATAAATAGTGAGATAACTTGAGTTCAATGGAAAAATATGGGTATTATAAAGTCTAGAGATTTTAGTGTGTTTTTTTTTTGTCACTTCATAGCATGTGCTGATTAAATTACATTTTTAAAGAATAGAAATAAAATGTATTTCTTTTCCTGATTTCTTTGGAAATCTGTTTTTTTTTTTCTGTAGGTAATTAGCTTCCTTCTGATGGCATGAGGCTTCTTGAGTATCAAGGGGCTAAGGCAGATCCTAATTCTGACAGGCAGGATAGCATCCTATGGAGTCAGACAACCATCTTTTATCAAGTGTGGAAAGGGAAGTCTCATTTGAAAATTCATCCTTTGGCACTGACTCTTCTGGGGGAAAAGGTTAGGAATGTAGTCAGATAATCAAATTTTCCACTGGTTTTACCCAGCGTATGTATTCCATCAAAGATGAACAGAATCTGGTCTTATGTCATTAATTTCTATTATTTCTACAGTCCATTATGGCAACTATGTGGTATAGTGTAAGGAAATGCTTTAGTTCTAAATTAATGAGGTTCTCTAGCAGTTACATGGAATGGGCAGGGAAACCACATTATAACATAAAAGTATCTTTTCTACTATAGAGATGGCAACTGAGTTCTCTTCAATTTATCATAAATTTCACTAATATGCATTTAGCCCCTTTATTATGTTCTTCTTTAAAGAAAATGGGAGCACTGAGATAACTAGTTTGAGCAATTTCCAGATAATTGGCATAATTTCATATGTATTCAAAAATCCACTCCAACATAGGCAGTGTGGGGGTTGTGTAGGCTTGTTTCCCCACTCCTAAGACCTCAGGTGTGTAACTTTACTCTGCCCCAGGCTATGGCAGACTTTATGGGAACCATTTAGAATGAGCAAGGGCATAAAGGAAATATATGCGGAAAGGGTGATCTTTTATAACCACTATATTCAAGTCAGGATTCAGTCTGACACTGAAATATACTTACTCAATGTAATTTATAGATAGTATGTAGTTACTGAGTCTGAAAAATATCAGATCAATAACCGAGGAGACAAATGGTGATATAACTAACTTTACTCAAACGACTGACAGATGGATAGACTGGTGACAACAGTCTATTTGTCCTTTCTGCCGTGTGGTGGGACATAAAGAATATATGAAAGGAAGCCCAGTAGTACTTCTCTTCTACCGTTACCTTTCCTTTACTTTCATGACATCTTCGTCTATAAATATTTAAAAAATTCATTTAGAAGCTATCAGTTTGTTTTTGACTGAACAATAGTTTTGGTCACACTAAACTTGGAAAAAAAGTTCATTTAATATATTAATGAGGTTCTCTAGCAGTTATATGTATAATGTGCTTTATGAGACATTTCAATTGATCAAGTTATTCTAATAAGATTTAAGTTGATGATTATGCTATACAAGACATTTTAATTGATAAAGTTATTCAAAAAAGATTTAAGTTGATGGGCTAGTGTTTCTCTTGTGGATATTCTTCCAAGATACCTTCATATGCTAGTTAGGTATTTTCAGATGGAAACCTAAAGCAAGGATCCACACAGAATTAAAAGGTTCCACACAGCCATTTATTCATTTGTGTAATTATTTAAATAACTGGCAAACTGAAGGAGAGACTTGTGATTCAATTTTATATGCTTTTCCCCCCTTAAAAGGGATATTTAGCTGCCATCCTATGGAGCAATATAAGGAAGTCTTTAATTATAATTTTTTTGATAAGTTAGGAAAGATCAGTCTTTATTGCATTTTGTACCTTAATTGGTTTCGTATGTATTTTTAAAATTCGTTCCCACATAAGAAATGTGGTGGGTTATGTGGGGTGAGATAACCATGATAGTGATTTGATAGAGAATAGCAGATAATGAACATAAATTCATTCACAAATGTATGCTCGGTGAATTCAATGAATATACAGTTCAGTCTCAAGACTTTGATCTCCGTTCTGACCTGAATCTCTGGCCTTGCAACAAGCAGCACGATTCTCTTACACTCATCATTAGACAGCAAAGCCACTGCTTCTTCTCGATTCTGGACATCTTCCCCATTTATCTAGAAAACAAATGAGAGTGGCATATTAGTTTCCATTTCCACAATGCTGCACACAATAAATGGCAAATATCAGCTCATTTATGGTAAATGTATGGACAATGAAGCTCACACAATGGGCTCATCTTCAGCCCCTCAGCACAAAGTGCCTTCACTCAATTACGCGCTTACTGTAAGAGCCATATCGATCCCTGAAGGATGGCGGACATCAGAGGAAGCAGTTATGTTCATAAATGTCCAACCTGTGCCCTGGCAACATACATCTAGCAACACAATTAACCAGCCCCTGACAGGTGACGTTCATCTTTCTTCGCTCAGAGTAATGGAAGTGTCACTCTGAGATAATAGTGCTGGGGAAGAAGGACTGGCAATACCACAACTGAAATCCGTCATCCTGCACGCTCGCTGTGAGCCAATTAGAGAGCTGTAGTATTATCTCTCACCAGGCAAGGCTCGCAGGCCACTGCTGATTACATTTTCATTTAATCATTTCATATTTGTGTGGGGGTCTGACTCAGTTGCTCAAACATCATTGTCAGGATAAATCTCAGTGTTTACCTGATCAAAATAAAGTAACATTCTCATCAATACTCCACTTTCCTTCTAATATTTATCCATTTCCTAAAACAACAAAACTAATGAAATATCTTCAGACTCATCTCTTAAATAATTAAAAAAATTATCATAGCATAACATTGAATTTTTAAAATAATGATGAGTGAAAGAAACCAAGCTTGAGTAAACTTTTGATTATATGTAAAAGATTCCAGTGGCATTAGAAATATCTTTTTACCTTTCCGAAGTTCTAAAGAGTAAATAAGATTTATAAAGTTTTTTTCAACTACATTTTTATGTGCAAATACATTTAGCTCTTAATTAACGAAACTTTTTCCTTTGGATAGTTAATAATCATTTTCTTTTATTGATTACTCAAATCCATAAAGACAATAAGATTTTGATCCATATATGTAATCAAATAATGTGGAAAGAAATTCTAACTAAAGAGGTCAAGTAATTCTGTCTAAAATAGTATTACTTGAATAAGTTAAACAGATGGAAAATGTGGCTGCACTGACCATTCTTTTTTCAATAATTACTTTATGTCTTTCAGTAAGGACTTCTGCTTAACAGCATAGAGAGACTATTGAGGTTTTCTCATCGTAGGTCTCTGGTTTTCTGGCTGATGCATGAGGGTAGATGTAATTATCTGAAAACAAGCCCAGAAATCTCAACTTTGGACCACAATAATAAATACTTATTCCTACACTCTTATATGTATTTAGTGCAAGGAAAGCAGGCAATAATAGTAAAAAAAAATCATATGGGCAAAAGTTGTATTTTCTTACTCCAATCACTGTCATTTCTGACTTGTATATGTAGAAAGGAAATTCAGTGGTTATAAGTTTCACATGTATTCCCCATTTGTTTTTGCAATTCACAAATAAAATTCATCAAATTAGGAAATAGAAACTATGATTCTACAATGGGAAATAATGACTGGGAAGGATATGTTGTGGTTTGTCATAAATACATCTGAAAAAGCATGTGTGTACTGACTCCAAGGCCTTTTTTCTCAAATGAAGATAAATTGGCAGTGGTGGATTCCACTATACCTCACCTCTCCTCTATTAAGTGCTGTTTTAAAATAATGACTTTATGGTATTTACTCTATTTGCACTTTGAGTGTTTATGTCCGTTTCATGGCAATTCTTAGTAATATATTTGCAATGCATCTATTTGTCTGTCAAACATGGACCTGTTTATTCATCTCCTCTCCACTACAGGCACATCTGATCCTAAGAAAATTGAATTGGGTGATCTCACACAGCTTATCTTCATCTTTTCTATTGAAATATACTTTTCACTTCTTTTATTCCTGGTTTCCACTCGACTACTATGTGCTTCCTCATTCTTCATCTAAATTTCACTTATCATTACTCTAAATACTCACTCATATTAGTCCAATGATGCTATTATGTTTGCTGTCATAAAATGCATATAATAATAGTGCCTTTCTCAGAGGGTCTTTATGAGGATTACATGAGTTGATATACGTAAAAATCTTAAATAGTGCCTGGTACATAGAAAGTCTTCAATGTTGGCACATAATACTGTTGATGCTGTTGTTACTGTTGTTATTACTATCATCATTTATATTTTAATCCTTAGTAGAGAAAAGACTCTTCATGCTACATAAAGCAAATAGAGTGAAATTTATGGAAAGTAATTAAATGCAGAGTAGTAAACATGGTTTTATTTTACAAGATATCTACCACCTATGTATTTCTAACTCTTAGAGGACCATCAGGAAGCAATGTGGTTGTTTGCCTTTTAGTTTCTTTATAGTTGGTATTCATCTCTCTCCCCTGAGAACTCATTATGACCAGAGCTATGGTCTCTGGTCCTGGCAATAATTAGTTCTTATTTGGGGGCAACAGATTATTTCTTGCCGAAACACTTCAGGATAATACTTGGGATAAAATACCACAGAAATGTGGCATTAAAATGTAATTTATTGTATCTTTTTGAAAATAAGTGCCACACTTTAGCCAACTGGTTGGTAGATGCGATTGTACTCAGGACATTAGTTTTATACCCAAACTGTTACTCGGGCAAGAAATGTAGCCATGGGTTTCAGCAAAGATACCTCTCAAGGAATGAAAAGATTTGAGAAACAGAATCAGATAGAGCTTTCAACCTTCAGTTGCTCTTGCTCCTGAAATAATGGCTTATAGTTACAAGATTGTTTGTGGGAATGCAGCCTGCTGTTCTGGGAGAATACTAGGCAGACATGAAAGTGGAGGACCCAGTAATAAGGGAAGGAGACCAGATGAGTAGTCACATCACATGGCTTAATGGAACACTTCCACTTTAAGAAAACAGAGGGAAAGAGAACCAAGAGAAGGACAGCAGGTAAATTTTGTTAACATAATGGTCTCACTTTCTGTACATGGGCATATGTAAAGGTTAGTTTCAAAATGGATATTGCCTTGGCTAAGAAGAGATCTGTGGTACTTACATGGATAGATCAGTCAAATCTCACTTTAGGCCCAATCTCCTATATGTGTGTATAAGTGTGTTGTGTTTTGTGTGTGTGTGTGTAAAGCCCTAAAAGCTTAGAAATGAGATGTAATATAGCTTTTCTCTTTAACATACTAATATCTAGTTTCTTTTTCTATTATTATACCAGACATAGGTGGGCAATGCAAATTCTTGACATCCAACCAACAGTGGAATTTCTTAGGAAAACCCAAGAGTCTTAGGCAATAAGAAAGCTTTATTTCAAATGTGTTTATATTTTAATATAGTGACAAAGGAGGTGATCAAAGTATAGAGACATAGATGTGGAAAGAACAGAAATAGAGGTAAAATATCCAAAGGGAATAAAATAAAAGAATTAGAGAACCAGGGTATTAGTTTATTCTCATGCTGCTATGAAGAAATACCTGAGACTGGGTAATTTATAAAGAAAAGAGGATCAATTGGCTTACAGTTCTGCATGTCTGGGGAAGCCTCAGGAAACTTACAATCATGGAGGAAGGCACCTCTTCACAGGGTGGCAGGAGAGAGAGAATAAGTGCCGAACAAAGGGGGAAAAGCCCCTTACAAAACCATCAGATCTTGTGAGAACTCACTCACTAACAGCGTGGAGTAACCGCCCCCCTGATTCAATTGCCCACCACTGTGTCCCCCCCCACTGGATCCCCCCCACCACTGGATCCCACACATAGGGATTATGGGAACTACGATTCAAGATGAAATTTGGGTGGGTATATAGCCAAATCATATCAACCAGTTTATGTGTAGAACAGAGAAGAGAAAGCTCGTTAGAAGTCCTGTTGTTTCACTGTTTGAGTTCTTGCAAAGTTTTGTGAGGAAGTCATCCTTAGAAATGGGATTGAATTTTTTGCTAACCTGAGATTAGGCTGCTTACATGGATTATTATATGTTTACCATCCCAAGGAGAAAAGGAGAATACAGCATTCTCTTCTTGGAAACTCCATAGAAAGCTGGTCACATATGCGGTCTTTCACTCTTGTTATCTGACTCAGAAATGCCATATTCAGCACTGCAATTTTGTGAGAGAATGCCCCCAGATTAATTCCTGGAGATATATTTTATATAAGCTCCTAGCAATGACACAGCAGATAGAACTATGAAGGAATGAAAAGGAAGAACTTTCCTTGCATAGAAAAAGCACAGGTGAACCACAACGATTCTCTGAAAGTTGGTTCATGGTTTCTCTTCTGCACAATCCCTACTCTATAACAATCCCCTTTGTGTGACAGCACGTGTGTATGTGTGTGTAAATGAGATGTCATTGGGTACAGTCACCTATAGGTTCATGGTGTGCTACATTAAGAAAAGTCTGGCTACACAATGAGGTCAGGGACACTGACATACTTAAGTAAAATGAACAGAAAATTAAAATCACAATTGCCCTGAAGAGATTCATTAAAATAAAAGCCATCTAAGAAACTTTAAGGATAAGAAGTAAATCCTCTGTTTTTCCTACTCTCATCTCTCTGGGAAAGGAGTCATTAATTGCTCATTACAGGGTATCCCATAATCTCCTCATCAACCATAAGGAAGCCATTTGTCTCTGGGTACAATTTTGTCAGAGTTTTACTTAATATAATTTCATAATCACCCTTAAGACTCTTTGTTTCCTATGTGTGCAGACAGAATTGAATTCTAGATTTTTTACTGCGACATGTGTTGTGACATATTTGCCACAGAATATAAAATAATCAGGCAGAAAACAGCACTTTATCATCCTGCTATTGTTTACTTAGTGAACCTAGACCATTAAGGAATACTTTATTATAGAGCAAGTATTTTCTCTAAAAACTTACCTGCTCACAATATCACTAAGGATTTGGAAGTGCCATAACATATGAAAACACATGCACTTTATTTCTATCCAACTATACCCACAGAACAAATGAATGAAACTTTAATGACTGTATTTGTGTATCCAGCCTACGGAAGAGTGGTTAGCTGGGAACTAGGAAGGGAGCCAGGTACAGTAGGCAGTATGGGATGTGGAGTAGATGGCAAGAGGAAGAACTGCCAGCTGGCAACAGCAAAGGAAGAGTAAGAAAAATGACACAATATAGACCAAATGCATCTGCAAATGTATCCAAATAAGGTCATTTCATGTTGGGGCACACATTTTCCAGATTTTCCAATCACTGAGCATTTGACTGTATTACAGCATCGTGGGATGAATGCTAGCTGTAACATGACTCTGAGCATCTACAGATTACATTATTTTCAGTATATTTAATTGGAGATGTTAACAAAGCGAACAATACATTTAGAATTATTTCAAAATTAAAAAAATAGTGAAACACTTTTGAAGCTTTCATTATCTGGATGATACATGAAAAGGGTCCCTTTAATTTCTTAATGAAGCTATGTAAGTAAAACCTTTCAACAGATGTTATTTGTCTATCCTATCATTATTTCCACTGAATAGCCTGATTACATTCATTGATTTATCCATGTGCATGTGTGAAAGATGACAAAAATGTGGTGATCAACAAGACATAGGTCTTGGCTTCCTGGTCCACTTTTCCTTCCCCTATGTATGACAGACATAGTTCATTTTGTTTACTATAGATCACTATTTAGGGAGCTCACTGAGGGAGAAATTATATACTCAAGGTTTTCTGAAAACTGGTGAGACCCCAAACGATCATTAATTCACACTTTGTATTCTTTTCTAATTGCAGCCTTAACAGAAGGTCCATGGTAAAAAAGGAGCTCTGCACTTTCTAGCTAGAGGAAGAACAGGTGGTGAGGAGGTGGTATGATTCCATGAGTGTTGTCCTGAACAAGGGAGAGAACTGCAGAAGGCTGGGCAGGACGTGTGCCCAGGCAGCACAGGCACAGTGTTACCATGACAGTGTCATGCTGTACTGTGATCATCTGTGTATGGTGCTGTCTTCCTAAACAGTGACAGTGGGCTCCAAATGCTGGGACAACATCTTGTCTATTTTTGAAGACCTAGTTTTTAGATTCCAAAAGTGGGAATTCAAAGAAATGCTCTCCAGGGGTCTGTATCCAACCAGGAGAAATAGGAGCTCTGGAACTGTGGCAGTGATATTTTAACAACTTATCACTCCCTGGATCACTCCCTGGATCATTCAAGTCCTCCTCTCTGTTTCACATTTGTGATCAGCAGTGAAACTCCACCTGAAGGACCTCTGTTTTTATCTTGGGGTTGATCTGCTGTTCGCAAGAGGGTGTCTTCTCCCTGCAGCCATTCTTTCTTTCTTTTTAAGGCAGTGTCTCACTTTGTCATCTAGGCTGGAGTGCAGTGGCACCATCTTGGCTCACCGCAACCTCCCTCTCCCCAGCTCAAGTGATTCTCCTGCCTCAGCCTCCTGACTAAGTGGGATTACAGGTACCTACTACCATGCCTGGCTAATTTTTGTATTTTTTAGTAAAGAAGGGGTTTCACCATATTGGCTAGGCTGGTCTCGAACTCCTGACTTCATGATCCACCCTCCTCAGCCTCCCAAAGTGCTGGGATTACAGGCATGAGCTACTGTTTAGACTTTTATATAGCAAAGGAACATTTTGATCCATGTTCACCTAATTTATTCTGGAAAAGGCAGCAATAACTGCTGCTACTAGTAGTCATAGCCATTAATATTTACTAAGTACTTATGCATTATGTTAAGCATATTGCATGCATAATCTCATTTCACCTTCACAACAATAATAGGTTATTACCATTTTTTAAAAATGAGGGAATGAAGCTTAGAATGAGAAGAGGTTAGGTGAGGTGCCAAGCAAATGGTGAAGCTGGAAGAGAAGTCATATTTGACTCCAGAGAGTCTGAACCATTAATTATTAGCTAATCACTCTTAATAAATCATACCATCCTTAATAAGTTCTAAATGATAGCTTCTTTTGGGTTTTGTAGATGTTAATATCCAAAAGCAAAGACAAATTATTTTCTCAACGGTTTACAAAAAACAAAATAATAACTGTTGGACAGACCATGGGAAACTAAAGGAAATGACAACATCACCTACTTGCAAAATACGATCCCCTTCTCGAATCCGGCCATCTTTGGCAGCAATGCTATTTGGATCTACCTGTAATAAAGAGGACATACATCTTCAGCCAGATATAAAACATTCCCTTAAGAACTTAAAAGTATGGTTTTAAAATATATTTTGAAAATGTTAAATTTTCAAAAAGCTGTTTTCAAATTCTCTGTTGACATATGACAGTGTATGTCATATTTCTCTCCATCAAAACTCACTGAATCTAAAAATATAAATGAGGTATTTTAGAGTGAACAAGAATAAAATCGTGAGGACTAGAGCAGAACTTAATCTGAAGATCAGTTTTTCCACCCTTCCTCCTCCTGTCCTCTATTTCTTCCTTCCTTTTTCCCCCTCATTCTTTATTTTTTTTTTTTTTTTACATTCATTTAGTCATTTCTGTATCCCAACTGTCACACAGGATCTTCAGTTGACATGAGATGTTAATACGAGAACTCTCTGGATCCAGGAAATTTACTTTCTATGAGATGATTTTAAATCCTCCCTTACTTGTCTTATCAAAGCTGACAGCTATACTTTAAGTCCATACTTATAATGAGAATTATGTTTCATGAGCACATTAATTTATAAAGAAATTTACAACCTATATTTCTCAAGAAACACATGCACACACAAATCCGATCCATGTATTTAATTAATACCACTTTACATATGGGGTAAAGTATATTAACTATAAACTGTCTTAGAATGTATAGATATTTAAGACTCTATCAGGAGCTTATCGGCATTTTAAGGCCAAACTTGAGTGATGACCTACAGTTCACTGGGGGCAATTTCATCTATCAGATTTCATGTGATGGCTTCAAACTTTATTTAAACTTGTTGCAGAAAAGCTTTTTTTTAAGCAAAGTATTTCAAGTGTCTCAAGAGGTTGATCCATCCTATCCACATGCTAGATATTACTTTCTTATTAGGGGAGCCACCTAATAATTGAGTCTTAAATCATCCATCAAGAATAATAGACACTGTAAATACATGTAAGAGGTAAAAGGAAAACATTCCTTCCAAGTACATATGTTCAGATCCTGTGTCTTCCTTCCCTTCCCTGAAAAGTGCAGTTCCAATTCTGACATATTTAAATAGTAAACAGTGACTTACTAGAAGGAAGTGAGGGATGAATTATGAACTGTATCCCATTTAAAAGCCATTTACAATCCAAAACCTTGTCTTTAGAACTGTAATCAAACTAATATTAAACTTCTCCCTTCCTACCTCTGTACATATTACAAAAGATAATTCCACAGATGTTTCCTCATACTTCCTCACCCTAATCAGAGGAATTATCCTAATTACATATTTAAAAGAAGTGCATAAGTAGAATATTGTGGAGTTTTTCCATTGCAGAAGAGAGTCAGTAAATTTTTTGGTAAAGGGATAAAGAGTAATATTTTACACTTGCAGAGTTGTGTTGTTTTCTAAATGCATTAATTACATTATCTCTTCCACATTCTAAGCAACTCTATAAAAACAATAAAATAAATATTGTTGTACTCAGCTTCTAGTTGAGAAAGCTGAAGCTCAGTACATTAGGTAATGTTTTCAAGATTATGGCCAAGAAAACTTGGAACAGCATAGAACATTAATTAGTATCTAGTTTGTCTAACTCCAGCATTCATATGTAAATATGCACATATGTTTTGCACATATAAGTAATTTTTTTATCATATGCATATTTAATTTTAATTTTTTTATATTTAGGGACAGGGTCTCATTCTGTCACTCAGGCTGCAGTGCAGTGGCACAATAATAGCTCACTGTAACCTCAAACTACTGTGCTCAAACAATCCTACTGCCAAAGCCTCCTGAGTAGTTAGGACTACAGACATATGCTACCATGACTGACTAATTTTTTTTTTTATAGAGACAGGGTCTCACTGTGTTGCCTGGTTTGGCCTCAAACTCCTAGACTTAAGCAATCCTCCTGTGTTGGCCTCCCAAAGTGCAGGGTTTATAGGCATAAGCCACTGTGCACAGCCTAAATTTTTTAAAACATACCTTCCTACTTCACATATAATAATGCCTTCGTGAGTTTTAAAAAATCACCTATTGTAATAAAATTTGCTTCACAGTCTTCAAAATGAATTAACACTAACAGTATTTCACATTTTAGAATCTCACTTGTGTATTGCTTCTTAGCCTCTGGCTAAGATCAAGGGTAGAATCTGACTCATGGGGTTGAATAAAACAAACTAATAGATGCACTCACTGGGTATTCAAATTTATCAATGACATCAGCAGAGTAAAAGATGTGATTATTGTGAATAGTAATTCAAAACAATTAGCCAGTGCTACTGTCAATAGAACTCATAAAAGACACAGAAGAATGGAAGGACAGATGTTTGAGGATCAAAAACTTTGCTGGACTTGCTGCATTCTTATGGGAATTTAGTCAGATTTGGACAGTGTGACCACTTTTGCACTCTTCCTTGCTGGGATTCTGGGGCAAAAGTATTCACATTAAACAAGCTGCTAATAATTACATTAGTTGGGCAGCATAATTTACTTTGCTAATTGAAAGTGACAAGTTTTGGAAACATGGCCAATTATTCACGTTCAAGCCTCTTAAGGAAGGGTTTTCTCCTTGTGAGTCATTTCTCCCCATTTCTCCTAATCTCCTTCTTAGAATTTCTCCCTCCAAACCCCATGCCATTTCTTACCTCGCTGACATAAATACCGGTGTCTTCTTCATCATCTGTTCGGTAACAGACTGTCAGGCCCAGCTTCTCTTGACTGCTAACACGACACAACTCAACCTCCTGAGAGAACAACACACACAGATGACATTTATGTCAGAAAGAAAACATCCAGCAGAATGGAGAACTCATTGATATTCTTTGGGTCATTCTGGCAAGTTTTAACAATTATTGCCAAACATTGGAAATTAACTTTTGTTACCAATATTATTCAAATGTTCTTTCAGCATGGATTTCTATATAGTTAATCCAATGTTTTATATTGTTATTGTAAAGTTGGAGATACACAACTGTTTCAAGGCAAGCTGTCAATGTAAAACTCCTTAAAAATTATACAATAATGTATAAATAAAATACATGTATACATCAATACACTGAAATCAATAAAATATTTGAAAATGTCAAATTTGGTGGAAAAGTGTTCATGAAAACATGAAGAGTTACTATTGCATGCTTTTATTTGTATTATTAGAAAACAAAATAAGTTCAAATAAAAAAAGAGTATTCTGAGCTGTTTCCATCAATTCTGCTCTTGAGTTCTATACAGTATGATAATAAGCAAGTGTTTTTTGTAGGTCAGTCCAGGGTTTTCTATAATTTTATAGAAACTCTCACCCTTGGAAAGAAATGGGTTCATCCAGGCTGAAGGGAGAGACATCAAAAGCCATTTGAGGCAGAGGCAGTGATTCAAAGTGAAGCAGTAAATGAACAAGAAAATGCATTTACTGAAACACATGGCTAAGGGCTTGAAATGTCAGTCCTCCTCAAGTAATGTATATTGAATCTACTTCCTGATTTATGTTCACTAAAATAATGATAAATTTCGGTGTATTTTATTTTATATAATGAAATGGACTTGTACTACTTTCAGAAGCAGATGACTTCAGGATAAATTATATATTTCCAAGGATTAAAACACAAATTAGCACACTAATTACAGAGAATTTATTCCTATTGGATGGAGAATATAAGACCCATTAGTAAATAATCAGATGAAGAACAATGTCTATTTAAATTAGAAGTGAAGTCTGGATCAATTTCTAGCACTCAGGCTCTGTGGGAGTGCTGTATTTGTCTGTCTTGCTTAATGCTCTTTCTCTAGTGCCTAGAATAGGAGGGTTTCAGTGTGGGCACTCAGTAAGAGCTAGCTGAAGGGTGACTAATTTTATTTCAGAAATCTTTCCTAGTGCACACAGATTTTTGTAAAACCATAAGTAGGCAGTCTTTCCTCTTTGGAAATAGATGAGTTTGTGTGTGTGTGTGTGTGTGTGTGTGTGTGTGCGCGCGCGCGCTCGCACGCGCATGTGTAAAGATTATGAGAAGAATAGAGTGCTAAGGTCTAAATGTTTGTGTTCTCTACAATTATAGAGACTCTTAGGGGTCTCTACATATAAGTTCAAATTAAGAAAAGACTACATATAATTGTAGAGACTCCTAATGTTAAGGTTTCAACATACTTTACCTGCCAAGGAGATAACAGACTGTCAGGCCCAGCATCTCTTTACCTACCTGCCTTTGGTAGATGATTAGGTCACAAGGGCTGCTGACCCCTCATAAATGGGATTACTGCCCTTATAAAGAGGTCCCAGAGAGCTGTCTTGCCTCTTCCACCTTGTAAGGACACAGTGAGAGGCTGCCCTCTATGAGGAACAGGCCCTTACCAGACACTGAAACTGCTGGGTGCCTTGATCTTCGACTTCCCAACTTCTAGAACTGTGATAAATGTGTTTCTGTCACTTAGAAGCCACCCTGTTCATGGTATTTTGTTACAGCAGCCCAAATGGACTAAGACATAAATATTCATTTAACTGTCTCAAATCTGAAATAGTTACCAGAACAAAATGAAGAAAAACTTACTTATCTTCAAACAAGAGAATACTTCCCAGAACACTCTGTTACATTTGAGTAAATATCCTCCCTTTCAATTCTGTATTTTTTTGTTTCAATTCTGTATTTCAATGAAGTCCTTGTCAGTGGTAATAACCTGTTTAAAAATGATATGCTATACACCATGGGTAAATCCTTAGCAAGGGGATTTGCTCTCATAAACTCCAGTGACCAATAATTTCACAGATAACAGCAAATAAAACTGAATTTAAATCCTCTATTCTGAGATAAGTACTGCAAATTAGTGAAATGCATGAAACTATAAAGAATGTTGACTTTCTGACTGTTGGACAAAGATATTCTATATTACAATGCTTAGAAAGGGTATAGTGTTGGCGGAACAGTAAAGAGAAAAGGCGAAACATCCTTTTACCTAGACTAGGAAACAGTGAAATGATTTGGCACCAGAGGCAAAAATGTACACACCAAGCAAAGGTCTTTTCAAAACTGGCAATAATTAATGCCTCCAGAGGGAAAGAATGCTTGACTAAAACTGCAACATTAGGAAGAAATTATAGCAACAAAACAGCTTCAATTACCGCAACAAGGTATACAGTCGAGGAGTATCTCTTAGTGATTCCTCAGAGACCAATAAGGAAGCCTACACACTCTATAATGAGCTGAGATTGGGACCTTTAAATCAGCACAAATGAGGAGCTGTAACCAGAGCTGAAATCCACTGGCTTTCAATGCCCTAACAAAGCATGGAAGCAACTCTCAGTATTGTGAAAAGACATTTTAAGGGGGAACATTCTTTTTTGAATGTTTTCTCCACATTTGCAATGGTGTACCTTGACTTTGGTGTTTGCTTAGAAGATGCATATCCAACTATTTTGCAATAAAATTGAATGAATGTATTAAAACAAAAAGGGCAGAATCCACGTATAATCCTTCAACACTACAAATCAAAGCACTTACCCAAGAATCTCAGAGGAAAGGAGACTAAGGTCCTCAGGTCAAAGTAACTTTTCAATATTTCCTTTGTCTTGGACCAAATCCAAACTGTGAAACAGGTCTACGAATTATCTCCATGGTGTGTTTGCAATATACACTCAGCACCCTCCTATTTCCTGTCAGCTGCCTGGAGTCCCTGAGGTATGAGTATTACAGGTTTGCCATTTTGCCTGTCCCCTAACAAAACTTGGCATTCGGTGTGATTTTTCCATCCTCTCACAGATAGCTCTTGAGACGTTAAAATAATTAATACATAAACGTCTCTCAAAGGAATCATCATTAACAATTACTTAAAATGTGACCCAAACAGGCTTTGGTGCATACTAATAAACACTGAAAATACAAAGCCCAAGCAAGGGACTAAACCCTTGGCAGAAAGCCTTCAGGCACCATAAGAGACCCAAGTAAGATTTTTCTGGATCCCACAAACCACCTCACTCCAGTCCTGAGTGTGAATTTGCATTTCCTGGTTGAGAATGTCTTAGATACTACATAGTTTATATTAAAACACAGAAACATACATTTTAGAATCAAAGTTCCCTTAATTCTATGACAAAATAACTTATAAGCAGCTATCCGTAGACAATTTTGTTTGTAGGAGGCAAAGGTAGCTTTATAAAGTCTCCGATTATCTAAAAGGAATTCTGCAGCACAGGTTTAATTAAGCATTCCCTTCACAGGACATACAAGCCTCTGACTTCTGAAGGAACAACCTCCAGGTAATAGAGAATGTTTTCCCTAACAACTTTCATACCCTTCCCTCTGTCACTTGGAAGCTATTTGATGAAACACATAAAAGTGAAATGCTATCTCTGTATATTTCCTCCATGGAGACAATTCATGAGCATATACAAATCAAAGCCAAGCCTGAATGGATGGCAGCACTAACCATCCATAAGTCATTGTGACTAGAGTGAAAGAATCACTTCACACACCTGGTGAAACTACATTCATTTTGACTTAAATGTACTTCAAGATGTGATGTTCTGGGAAAGTGTCTAAAGTCTCCTTAAAAAAAATCAAACTTCAGTATTTAATATTTTAAGAAATTGATTATATATAGATTGAAGGTGTAGAAGATAGAGTTTTTTTTTTAATTAAAGCTTGCTGTGAAACATTCTTCTAATCATAGAATGACACAAATAGGATTTTTACATAAATTGGTTGTACTCCAGCGCGGTGAAATTTTAATTTTTTTTTTTGTGGTTGAGTCTAGGAATAAATGAGAAACTTAAAATGAATAAAAAAATTGCTTTCTAGATAGAATTATCTCTTGGGGAAAGAAACAAGGGTTGACACAGCTTAAGAAGCAATGGCTTTTTAAGTAACACTGTTCCCAGACTTTAAAGAACACTTAGGCCCATGCATGCCATAAAGATTGTCCTCTGCATAAGAAAATTCAAACGCAGTCAGCACTATTCAAGTCTGAAGAAGACCTAGCACCAGACAAGCTAGTAATTTATATCAGTTGATAATAAGGGAATGTAGGGTCTATTGTTTCCATATCTTTATTTTCCTGGTTTTCATTTATTAGACAGTACATGCACTTTACCCAATCTCAGTGTTAATCATATATCGTTTTATATTTTTAAATGTTGATTAGTAACTAGTAAATACCATGTGGTTCCAATAAAACATTTATTTCCAAAAGAATTAAATGAGAAATATGAAAACTTTAATCCCCACAGCTAAAGAAAAGCTAGATAGTCTATTACAAAAATATTGCTTGAGTATCATTATCTCCTGCATAATGAAATCTAGGGATAATACTTAGTAAAAAATGAGTAACAAAACTCCTGGAATATCCAAATCCCTCTGACAAAACGTTTCAGGCTTGCACCCTCCAACTCCAAATTATTCATAACCAGTTGATGCAACTGATCATTAAATCACATTTCTGTAGAGAGATGAGGGTAAAAGCCAAAGCTTATGGTCCTGTCTTTTCTCCAACATCCTTAACCCTGCCTCTTTATTTAACTACTTCTTTTTCAATGGTCTTCTGAAATTCGGGCAGCTTTTAACCACCAATTTCCCATTCTTAGAATCAAAGACATTCTGGATTCTTTGGGAAAGAAAGTGGTCACATTTCTCTAGACCTAGGTTGGCTGCTTCTCACTGTGGGCTGAGAATCACCTTAAGAAGTCATAAATGACCTTTTTGGAGTAGAGTTTATGCCTTAACAAAGAAATATTACTTCTGCCTCTACTGTTAATTGGGGAGGA